AAATAGAAAATTTTTAACCATTGATTTTTGATAAATTTTCTCGTCATATTTTTTTCAAACTACCCTTGTTGGTAAACCATTCTTTGTTCTTCCAGAAAACATTTAAATGGTTATCGTAGAAGTCTTACCTTGGCTAGTGTAGTCTTACCCTTTTATCAACCAAATCCGCGAAAACCTAGCTGAACCCTTCCACCGCGACATCGTGCAGAGTCGTGACGTCACACATTTTCGCCTTCAGCTTTTGGTTCCCTCTCTTCATTGTTTGAAATGTACGAGACAGGGAAATACATCGCCAAGAGATTTTTAAACTTTAGTTCAAAAAGTTAATCTATTTTGGTAATGTTTTATAATCACTGACCTCACATTGTGCCTTAGTTCATTCGATAGTATAAAGAAAACGAGACTTTTTAGACCCAAGTATTTCCTTTTCACTGAGCTCCCCCTCCCTCCTTTTTTCCCCTGCCCAAAGCCTTTCATTGCGTAGGGCCTAGGGCCTAGATCTAGATCTAGTATGAAGAGTCCGGACTCGTGTTGTTAACACAGTCAAAAATTAAACAGGAACGCCTATTAAAGTATCTGATGCAATTATTTGTTTGATAAAGTTTCTTAGGTTTATTGTTAGTACCGATCCAGATTTTCTTTCTTTTCTGTCGTATGAACAAGAACGAAAAATGCTACTGGATTGTGGGATCCACTACATGCCCCCCCCCTCTCTCTCTCTCTGGGTGTGTGTATGTGTGTGAGTGTGTGTGTGTGTGTGTGTGTGTGGTTTCGTGTGTTCCCACTCCCCTCTTACTTTCATAACCGTACCTCTCTTTTCTTCTCCATCCCACTTTACCTGCTCTTCAACTTTATACATGTTCTCTATTATATATCGTTCTTGTCTTATTTGTCTTAGAATCGCCACCGCCGCCATCCTTCCACGACTCACGGCATTAGCTGTGTAAACCTATTACTATTTTCCACAGATTAATCAACCCTGAAGAAAGATGCCAGTTGCAACAAAGTGAGCACTTTTGCTCCTCAGTTCTTATTTTATTTTACTTTTTCCTTCCTCTGATATCCTTAGGATGTCGAGGGGAGGTGCTGGTTTCGGTGTCTGTGATAGATATGCTGATTACTTATATTGTTCCAGGGCCTTTTTAACCCCATCCAGTCAGGTCTTTCTTGGTCTTCCTCTTGATTTAAAGCCGGATTCGCGGGTGTGGTTAGCTCTAGCCGCTAGTTGTTTCTGGGGCATTCTGGTTAGATGTCCGAACCATTTGACTCTTTGACGCTCTAATAAATTTACTACTGGTAGACGTATGGTCTCGTTCCTTATGCGGTCTCCTCTGGTGACGCCTAATTTCGCGTGCATTGATTTTCCTTTCTCATGCCTTGTTTAGAGACCATGTTTGGCACTGGTATGTTAATGTTGGTATGAATATTCTATTGATGAGCTGGGGATGTCACTTCAGTTGGGATGTTCTTGTGACTGAGAAGAGGTGCTAGCTGGTACTACCAGTGGTGGGTCACTGCATTTGCCTTCATAGTTCTTTTTCTTTGTCCATACGCCCATCTAGTGAGAAGATGCTTCCCAAATATTTAAATTCCTCTACTTGTTGGAGATGTTTTCCGTCAACAAGGATGTTGAGTTTCCCTGGGTTTTTTCTTGCCTTCATAACTTCTGTTTTTGAAATCAAAATTGTCATGTTTATGTGTTTACATTCTTCATTAATTGATTTTGTGGTGTCTTTTTTGTGATTCTTCTTCTTCTGTATTTAATGTACTCTGGTCATCAGCAGATAGAAGCTCACTCAGTTCATTGATGTTGTCATTTGCTGCTTTCGTGATCTTATCCATGTAAGTGATGAAGAGAAGTGGAGAGAGAACACACCCTTGTCTCACCCCAGACGTGATGGGGAAACAGTCCGGTAGTCCTTCTATTGACCTTTCGGCACACAGGCTGTTTTTATAAAGTGCCATGATGTTCTTGAGCAATTGTCCTTTAACACCATATTACTCTAAGACTACCCCCCGGGGCGATGCCACTGACTGAAGTGTCTTCATGCCATTCCAAAACAGGGGATGTTCTAATGCACAGTAGAATTGTAAATGGGCTGATCGAACAATGGCATGCTCATAACTATGCCTGAACTACAACAGGGAACTGCGCCTTTTTCTTTCCTAATCCTTACTATCGTCATTTTCCTCTACTTCTTTTGTATGTTTGTCACACTCTTGTGACCCGCTGTTTCCGGGGTGCCTTGATAGTCTAAGCAGACTTTGTGCTGTATAAGCTAGAAAGGTGAGCAGAGTAAGTTTGATTCCCTGTAAGGACTTCTCTGTTGACATCCACCCCTTGGCGCTCATATGACCTTATGCAGTTGCGGGTGCCGTAAAACCGCTACTAAAACCTCTAAGACTTCCCAAGGTTGACATCTATTTACCCTGTCGAACGCCTTTTCTAGGTCCACAAAGACGATATTGAGGTCTTGTCATGTCCAATGGCAGTCTCACACAACTGTCCGAATGCACAAAAAAAACCCCCCGTCAGTACAGCCCTTGCCTTTTCTGAAGCCAAACTGGGATTCATTGAGTTGAGTCTCTACAATTGGTCTCATTCTCATTTCCAGTATCTTGGCAAACGTAATATCCACACGGCTGAGAAGGGATATTCCTCTGTAGGCTCTGTGTTGTTTTTGTCGCCCAGGCCAGGTTAAA